TCTCCTTCCTGACTCCCAACACCTTTAAGACCTCACATCCCTTTGAAATTTCATCTTGTCTTAAGAACACAAACTGGAAATAGACTTTTTCTCCTGACTCCCAGCCCCTCTCTTATTCTAAAGTCCTTCAGAGTTAGGAGCTCCCCAGACCCACTCAAAGTCCCCACTTCACTGTTCTTCTGCAGGAAGTCCTTCTCTGGCTTCCCTGTCCTAAGCCCCCTACTTATGATGATATTTTTGGGAATGTGGATGCTGGAAGCAGAGGCAGAGGACTTTAGAAATCTCCAGAACACCAGCCATGGCGATCCAAAGAAATGAACTGTAGGAGCTGGAGAAGCTGAGCTCTTCTGAGGTGTTGGGGTTATCACTGCCAGTCTATTCCTGCCAAAGGCTGCCTAGAGCTGGAACTCCTGGAAGACTGTGACCTTCCAGGAGTCAGGATCTGAGGCTTTTCCCATCATGCAGAGGCTGAAGGTAACTCACAAAGAAGTGGTGGTGGTGAAACAGGCAGGGATGGAGGTCAAAGGAAAGTTGGGGGAAGCTGCCAGTTTTCCTTGGGGCGGGATGAGGACTGGACAAGGTTGAGTGTGCCCTTCTACAGGGAAAGGTACCGTTACTGTGCCAGATTCCATGTGGCTGAAACAGAGGGCTTGGATTAAAACTGATGTTGGTAGGAGAGAAGGACTTCCTGCAGAAGAACAGTGAGGTGAGGACTTTGAGTGGTCTGGGGAGATCCTAACTTTAGAATAAGAGAGGGTCCTGCCAGGCCAGAAAGTGCGGATGGTGTGGGGGGTTATTTGACTTCAGGAGGGTACAGTCCAGCACCTGGATCCTTTCAGCCACTTGAGTCCAGGTCCTCTTCTTAGACTTCTCATTTGTCAAATTTATTCTTTAATTTTTTTCCCTCCCTCCCCGCCTCCTTCTGGTGTCTGGATCATGTTTGGTTCAGATTTCAACAGAAGTTAGACAAGAGCTCCTGGACAAGCTCTGCAAGTGAGGGAAGGAGAAACTCGGAGGGAAGCATGTGCTGGAAGTCAGCCTACAACCTTACTCTTCTCAGACTCACCATTAGTTTCAGAAATCCCGGCTCAGAAATCTCCATTGTGAGCTCTGGGAGACAGCCTCACACCTGATTAATTTTCCCCTTTCCCTTCTATTTATTTAATGAACTTTTGCTGAGCACATTCTGTGTGCTCTGAGGATGCAGGCCAAGGTAAACAAGTCACTGTCAGCGTCATCAAGACACTCACAGTCCCCTGTGGGCCAACCAACAGAATTAATTAAGGTTGGATGGGCTGAGACTGCAGAAGCTATGGTGAAATGGGTTCCAGCCTCTCTCCAATCTAATTGCATGATTAGGCTTGTTCTGCATTAACAGCTTCATTGTTTGGGGACATGGTTAGGTTCCATTAGCTTGAATTGTAGGCCTCGACAACCTGACTGAGATGGATGAGTTGTGTGACCTTAGATAAGTCCCTTAACCTCCCTCATAAGGTGCTTGTGAAGATCAAATGAAGTTTGTAATTGTAAAGGAAAGATCATGGCTATTCTTTCTCCCATTTCCTCCGTTGGGGACTTCCTAATTACCAGCCTCTATCCAAACCAGCTCAGTCTTTTCCATCTAGACTTGGGAGATAGAAGGTACTTGGATTTGGAGGGAGTGTGATGTGAGCTGGGTAGGACCACCATGATGTTGGTCAGTCGATTCCTATTCAAATTACATTTATGGAGACCTTTTGTATGTGCCAGGACTTTTAATGTATTATATCACTTAATCCTTTTATTAATCACCCTGTGAAATGTTTGTTATCATCCTTACCATTTTATAGATGAACAAGTTGAGGCTCTAAGATAAACATTCTCAAAGTTTAATATATATTAGAATAATCTGGGGTGTTTTTTAAAAATGCAGATTGGGCTAGGAACTGTGGCTCACACCTGTAATCCTAACACTTTGGGAGGCCTCAAGCTGAGGATTGCTTAAACCCAGGAGCTTGAAGTTGCAGTGAGCTATGATCACGCCACTTCTTGTCCAGGAGCTCTTGTCTAGCTTCTGTTGAAATCTGTTGAACCAAACATGATCCAGACACCAGAATGAGGTGGGGAGGGACCAAAAGGAAGATTAAAGAATGAATTTGACAAATGAGAAGTCTCAGAAGAGAACCTGTACTCAAGTGGCTGAAAGGATCTGTGCTAAACTGTACCTTCCTGAAGTCAAATAACCACTCCCCACACCCATACTTTCTGGCCTGGCAGGACCTTCTCTTATTTTAAAGTCCTTTAGAGTTAGAATCTCCCCAGATCCACTCAAAATCCGTACCTCAGTGTTTTTCTGCAGGAAGTCCAGAACTATGATCTGGGTAACCTTGACTTGACAGCAAGACCTTGTCTCTTAAAAAAAAGCAGGCTGGGTGCAGTGGCTCATGCCTTTAATCCTAGCACTTTGGGAGGATGAGGTGGGAGGATCAATTGAGGCCAGAAGTTTGAGAACAACCTGGGCAACAGCAGGATCCCATCTCTACCCCCATCCCAAAAAAAAAAAAAAAAAAAAAAATTAGCGGGGCATGGTAGTACCTGCCTGTAGTCCTAGCTACTCAGGAGGCTGAGGCAGGAGGATTGATTAAGCCTGGGAGGTGGAGGCTGCAGTGAGCTGTGATTGTGCCACTGCACTCCAGCCTGGGCGTCAAAGTGAGATCCTACCTCAAAGTTTTTAAAAAAACAAACAGATCCCTGGGCTGTACCCCCAGAAATGCTGATTCAGCAGCTGTGGAGTGAGACCTAGAATCTATATTTTTTACATGTATCCAAGGTGATTTTAAAGACCACCAGTACTTTAATAAGTACTGATTAAGAGTTAGTGACTTGCTCCAAGGCTCACAGCAGGAAGTAACAGCTTTGAATCCAGGATTCATGCCTCTCAGACTCGTGCTGCTGCTGGATACATCTCACCAAAGCTGCCTCCTGGGCCTTGGTTTCTGCATTGTAAATGGAATGGCAATTCCTTCTCCACCTCCCTCCCTCATAGGCCCATTGTGAGGATAAAATGAGATAATGTAGGAGAAAGTGCTTTTAAAAATGTAGAGCTGGCAGCATTGTTAGCGATTATGCAAATATATGCAAATGAGTGGCCGTGGGCGTGGCTGTTCACTTTGGGAGCTTGTGCTGGGATGTGGGTTTCAAAAGGTGGGTCGAGAAAGAAGAACTTTGGTGATAGGCATTGACCCCTGGGGAAAGTTTCTTTAAAAAGGATAAGCCTCGGGTGGGAATCGGGGGAGAGAGAGAACTACAGGCAGTAGAAGAGGCCTGCCTTCTTTTTTGGGTTTTATGTCCCCAGATTTGAGGGCCCCTGGCTGTGGGGACTGATCGGCAGAGGGAAGCCCCTGCTTGTGCCTGGGCACCAAAGGCAAAGCATACCTCTTTGTTCTGTGATCTCTGGGTGGGGTACTCTGGGAGATACTGGCTCATAGCCCCTTTCTAGCTCATTTAGCTGGGAAAGCCTTTTATGATGTCTCGCCTCTATTCCTCCTCCCTAATGAAGCTGGAGCTGGGGCTGAGCTTTACTAAAATCATCCTCTTTCTTGTTAAACAACCTGCTGTTTCCACATGGAGACAGTGCAGCAGGAAGGCTGAAAGTGAGATGTGAGGATAGCCCACCAAGGAGGTCGCAGTGCCATCCTCCAACATCTTTGCCACTTTCCCTTCTGCCCTGTTTGCTCTCAGATGTGTCGTCCAGGACTGCTAGGCCCTGAGGTGAGAACTGGCCTGTGATGCTTCCTGGGGCTGGCTATTTTGGGCACCCCTATTCCAAAGCTGCCGAGATCCTGGGATTCTAGAGCTACTTCTGTTCAGGAACGCCATTGTTCTCCCTCCCCCGGCATCCCTGGGAATTGATGCTAATTTCAGCCTCTGGTCCCTGACTCATTCTCTTCTCCTCCCTGACTCATAGGGTGACCTTGGGTTTTTGAAGCCCCTCTCAGTGGGGAATTATGGTGGCCACTATTTCAGCCCCGGGCTGGTTTTAGGTGGGTGGGGCAGGGTGAGAGAAAGGAGTGAGAGAAAGGAGTGTTTAACTGCTTTCATTAAAATCACCATCTGAAGAGCTTTGTTTGTTTTGTGACTGCCTGGGCTGGACTCATCAGACTTCTAAGAAAATCTCCCAGTTAATCATCAAACCCCAGCATTCATAAGTTTAAACCACGAGGGGATTGTCCCTTCAGGCAAAGCATCCAGTGAGTGAGATTCCTGGCCCTACCCCAGCACTTTTATTCTGGAGGAAGCTTCATCAGGACAGAGGCATGGGGTGGAGATAGTAACTGTCAGAAGTTCTCTCTGGTGTAAGATGGAAAGGCAGGGGTTAACCTGGCTTTGTCCTGGTTGATGGATTCTGGAATCATAATCCATTAGCTTTGCCTGCATGGAGAGAGGCCAGGCAAAAGCATTCAGATTTGTCTTTGTTCTGTGCTTTTGCCATCCCTGCCAGGCACACAGGGGCTGTGGACATGTAACCTCCACCCCCACACCATGACCAAGAGACAATGAAATATTCTTGGGGGCTATCTTGATTGCTATTGATCCCAAAGCCCTCTTCCATGGGGAGAAATAAGCAGTTTCAACTCTTGGTTATTCAGGCTATAAAACAGATCATCCTAAAAACATCGCTTCAGGGGCTTGTACCTGCCCAATTCTGTGGGGCCCTGGCAGTTTAAACAAGACAAAGCACTGATTAAAGAGGGACTATTGAGAGGTCAGATGGTGGGAGGGATGGTGGAGTCAGGAAAGCTTGGCATTAAACTTTGGGTATAGATAAACTTAATACAGGCAGTGGCAATAGCTTGAGATTAAAAAAGAAACATTAGCTGCTATTATGATTAATGTTCGAATTCTTAACTATTTATGAAAGATTGAGGATGTTTCTGTAAAATGTACCTTATTACGGGGTATCCTCTTCTCATGATAAGGTAGCTGTGCCTAAGTGGCCTCTTTCTATCTGCTCCCTGCAGGCTGCGCTACATGGTGAAGCAGTTGGAAAATGGGGAGGTAAACATCGAGGAGCTGAAGAAAAACCTGGAGTACACCGCTTCTCTGCTGGAGGCTGTCTACATAGATGAGACACGGTGAGAGAGAACGACAGAATGAGAGGGGGCAGGTGTGGCATGGACAGAGACCGGAAGAGAGAGAGTGGACCAGATATAAAGAGCTCTAGGTAGTGGCCGGGCACAGTGGCTCACGCCTGTAATCCCAGCACTTTGGAGGCCAAGATGGGTAGATTCTTTGAGCCCAGGAATTTGAGACCACTCTGTCTCTACAAAAAATGTAAAAAATTTAGCCAGGCATGGTAGCAGCTCCTATAGTTCTAGCTACTCGGGAGGCTGAGGTGGAAGGATGGCTTGAGCCCAGGAGGCAAAGGTTTGCCATGAATTGAAATCACACTGCTGCGCTCCAGCTCCAGCCTGGGTGACAGAACAAGACTCTGTCTGAAAACAAAAACAAAAACAGAGCTCCAGGTATCCAGGCAGAAACAGTGGTAGAGATAAAGAGGCAGAGGCAGACATAGAGGTACAGAGATAGTGACAAACACAGATATCAAGAAGGACAGATGACTGCTTCAGAGTTGGAAGGGACCTTAAGGCTCATCTGCTCCAGTGTGGAATGCCTCTAGACATGTGCTGCCCAAAATGGGAGCCACCATTCTGGGTGGCTATTGAGCACCTGAAATGTGGCAAGTATGAATTGAAATGTGTATGCAAAATACATGATGGATTTCAAAGATTTAGAAAAAAGAATGTAAGATATCTCATTAACATATTTTATAAAGCTGGGCATGGCAGCTCATGCCTGTAATCCTAGCACTTTGGGAGGCTGAGTCAGGCTGACTGCTTGAGCCCAGGAGTTCGAGACCAGCCTGGGCAATATGATGAAACCCTGTCTCTACAAAAAATTAAAAAATTAGCTGGGTAAGGTGGTGTACACCTGTAGTCCCAGCTACTTTGGAGGCTGAGGGGGAGGATCACCTGAACCTGGGGAGGTTGAGGTTGCGGTGAACTGTAATCACACCACTGCACTCCAGCCTGGGCCTGTCTAAAAATACACGTGCGCACGCGCGTGCGTGCACACGCGTTCACACACACACACACACACACACACACACACACAAATGGTTTCATGTTGAAATGATATTTTGGAGGTATTAGGTAAAATAAAATTTATCATTGGGCACAGTGGCTCACGCCTATAATCCCAGCATTTTGGGAGGCTGAGGCAGGTGGACCACCTGAGGTCAGGAGTTCAAGACCAGCCTGACCAACATGGTGAAACCCCGTCTCTACTAAAAATACAAAAAGTAGCCAGGCGTGATGGTGGGCTCCTGTAATCCAGCTACTTCGGAGGCTGAGGTAGGAGAATCGCTGGAACCCAGGAGGCGAAGGTTGCAGTGAGCCGAAGTGGCACCACTGCATTCCAGCCTGGGCGACAGAGCGAGACTCCATCTCAAAGCATATATAAATAAATAAATAAAGTAAAATTTATCATTGAAACAAGTTTCACCTGTTTCTCTTTACCTTTTTAATGTGGCCTACTAGACAATTTAAAATTTCATATTTGTGACTTGCAGTTTATTTCTATTGGACGATGCTGCTCTATAGCATCCCTGAAAGACGCATTCCGTTTCCTGCTTGAACACTTCCAGAGTTGGGATGCTCACTACCTCACATAGAGACCTGTTTCATTACTGGAGATGTTAGATAGAGAAATACAAAGATAGAGAAAAAGAAAGGAAAGAGGAGGGTTGAAGACAGAGAGCGAGCTGGCATGAGAGTTACTAAATGTGGGGTGTGGCTGGGTACAGGGTCTCTAGGCTGTGGAAACCTGCTGTCTTTCCTCTGTGACTCCCCTTCTGGGGTCTCAGGCAAATCCTGGACACGGAGGACGAGCTGCAGGAGCTGCGGTCAGATGCTGTGCCTTCGGAGGTGCGGGACTGGCTGGCCTCCACCTTCACCCAGCAGGCCCGGGCCAAAGGCCGCCGAGCAGAGGAGAAGCCCAAGTTCCGAAGCATTGTGCATGCCGTGCAGGCGGGGATCTTCGTGGAACGGTGAGGCTCGCCCATACTCGGCCTCCTTCTGCCTCTGGCTGTGGCCCTCTTTCCTGGCCACCTCAGTCTTCCATGACCACCAGCCATATGATCCCATGGCTCATCCCCGTATCCCCAGCTGGCCAGACCTTTACTCCCAGACCTTCATATGTGGGCTTCTTTCCATTGTTCTCTCTTAGGATGTTCCGGAGAACATACACCTCTGTGGGTCCCACTTATTCTACTGCTGTCCTCAACTGTCTCAAGGTGACTCTGGGTTTTCGGGAAAGAGGAGAAGGTTGGTGGATGGAATAGCCACTGGGACTTCTAGACCCTGTTTATGGCATGATTTTTGCCTTCCCACTCGCCCCCCTTTTTTAAAATTTGAGATGGAATCTCTCTCTTGTCTTCCAGGCTGGAGTGCAGTGGCACAATCTCAGCTCACTGCAACCTCCACCTCCTGGGTTCAAGTGATTCTTCTGCCTCAACCTCCCAAGTAGCTGGGATTACAGGCACCTGCCACCATGCCCAGCTAATTTTTGTATTTTTAGTAGAGATGAGGTTTTACCATGTTGGCCAGGCTGGTCTCGAACTCTTGACCTTAAGTGATTCACCTATCTTGGCTTCCCAAAGTGCTGGGATTACAGGTGTGAGCCACTGCACCCAGCCTGCCTTCCCTTTTAACTGTTGTTCCCACGTTCATCAAAACAGCTTTTGCCCACTCTAGGAGCAAATTCCTACCTTCCTGTCTCTCCCATGCTGAGAGATATATGGGAAGAAAGAGGTACATTTCATCATCTCTTTTCTTTCCTATTTACCAAGACTTTGTACTCATGGGAAGTCCTTTTTGAAGTCTAACTTCAACCCCTGCTGCTGCTGGAAAGCAACATAGTCTATTGTTTCTCCACAGAACCTGGATCTCTGGTGCTTTGATGTCTTTTCCTTGAACCGGGCAGCAGATGACCATGCCCTGAGGACCATTGTTTTTGAGTTGCTGACTCGGCATAACCTCATCAGTCGCTTCAAGGTTGGGCAGCATCCTACCTCTACCTCCAGGCGGGATTCTCCATTCCTCTCATGCCTGTTCTAAAAGCCTCCTAACAAACAGATTTCACAGAATCCTCAGTCTCAACATCAGGGAAGTCTCCCCACACTCACGCCCAGTCTAGCCTATTTTTTTTTTTTTTTTTGAGATGGAGTCTCGCTCTGTTGCCCAGGCTGGAGTGCAATGGCACACTCTCAGCTCACCGTAGCCTCCGCCTCCCGGGTTTAAGTAATTCTCCTGCCTCAGCCTCCCAAGTAGCTGGAATACAGGTGCGCGCCACCATGCCTGGCTAATTTTTTTTTTTTTTTTTGTATTTTTAAGTAGAGACGTGATTTCCCCATGTTGGTCAGGCTGGTCTCGAACCCCTGACCTCATGATCCACCAGCCTCAGCCTCCCAAAGTGCTGGAATTACAGGCGTGAGCCACCGCACCCAGCTCCGGTTTAGCCTTTCTTTTACTTGCTGCACTCTTAGTTCCAGACTTCATTAATTGCTTTCTAGGGGGAGAGTCTAGGTTTGCATCCATCTAGCCTGGGATTCTGCCCTCTCCCTCTTTGCTTTTTTCCCCCAATTTGCCCTCTCTAGGCTGACTTGCAGTGTGGACACTGGAGGCCTGGAGTTCAGATGCTGTCAGCCAGTGCCCTTTGGGACTAGAATCCATGTGTTTCCTGGATAAAATTGGCCAATCCCTCCCCTGTCCCCTAGTTCTGGTCTCTGTGCAAGGAATTATCTGGAGAAGGTCAGCTCGTGACAGGGCTGGGGTGGGGTTGTATGACAGCAGGAGGGTGTGTGAACCTCATTTGCTCTTCAGCTTGTCTGAATGGGAAGAATTATATGAGATTCAAGTCCTTCCTAGATCCTACACCAGGAGGCAGCATCTTTTGGGAGGGAAAAAGTGCCAGGAAAAAAACCACTTTCACATGGAAAAACCACATTTGGGAGTAGAGGGTGAGGGAGGTTGAAGAGTCATGATGGGGATATTGGGTCAGCACTCTGGGGAGCAGTAGATATTAAAGGTGGAGGGAAACGTGGGTGCTCTGAAGGGCCATAGAGAGGGGCATTTAAAGGAGTACAGGTGGAGGGTCCGCTCCCAGGCCGGCTTCTGGAGGTCCTTCCATCCATCCTCTGCCTTCAGTTCACTAGAACAAATTATTTGTGCATGTGAGCCTTTCCTCCATCCTTGACTCCTCCTTTTAAAGCAACTCCCTAGGGGGTTTTCCAAACTTTCCTGCAATGGTCAGTTGAAATTTTCTTCAGTGCTTCTAGAAGCCTGTTCTGCAGTTTTACTTTCTTCTTTCCAATCCTGCCCTCTCCAGGACAGAGAGTAGCAGGGCTCTCTTTTCCCTAAGACTTTTCCCAGCTCATGTTTCTCCAAACTGACTCTAGACTTCAGTCACTAGCTTCTCCTAAACTCTGCCTCCTTACCTGGAAGGACTGGGTTTGGGGGACCCCAACAGTAGCTGTGTTGGGTTGGGTTTGGCCTAGGCCCAGTGTGCTTTGCTCCAAGGCAGTTAGAGGAAGGAGGGGTGCTTATTGTTTTAGTTCTCTCTGACGGTGGAGCCAGGAGGAGCTGCCCTTCTCAAACTCCACCTTCTCTTCCTGGGTACCTAGCCCCTCCCCTACTCCTCCCTTTTTCTTCCTTTTCCTCCAGGGACGCCATGGCAACGCAAAAGCAAGGGCAGTTGTCATGGAAACAGTCCTTTAAAATTTCCTGAATTTGGGGCACAGCCCTCCAGGGGTGTGGGTGGGGAATGTTAGGGTCTGACTGACTAGTGGTGCTTCTTCTGTGTCTCTGTTACCGTATTGCTCATCTCTACAGAAGCCTCCCGAGTCCTGACCCTTGGTCCCCTCCTAGCCTCAGGAGATCCAGGGACAGATCACCAGCCCTGTCCTTTGGGAGCCTTGAGCCTTTTGAAGTGGGCAGACATATCGTAAGGGCATACACAGAGACAGGGACAGAATTCAGAGTAGCTGGACAGAGCTCTGGCTCTGGGTGCTTTTGTGTGTGTATTGTGGGACTGAGGGTGTGGACACTGCTGCATGTGGAGGGTAGGGGTCAGGGAGGGCTTCTCAAAGGAGAGGGTGATCCACATCTGGCTAGAAGAGTCCTCTCTAGGTCATCTTATTCTTTCCCGTGCTTCCCACCTCTTCTTCATGGTTTTGGATTTGGGGATGGAGTGGGGTGGTTGGAAGGTAGAAGGGAAGCTTTCTTTCCTTTTCTTGGAAATCTCCAGGGAAATAATAATAATTATAGCTATTCTTTAGAGAGCATTTACTAAAAGCCTTGTACTTATCTCATTAAATTCCAGGTGGGTGGTATTATCTTCATTCTGCAATTAAGTGTCTGAGGCACAGAGAGGCACGTGGCTTGCCCAAGGTTGCACAGCCAGCAGGTGGTAGAGGCAGAATATGAGCCCAGGCTCACGTGACTAGGTCCTGTGACCTCTCCCTATGCCACGCTGCCTTCTAAAGAAAGATGGGGTTGTTGATCTTGATCCATAGTCACCATGATTCCTGTGGATCCGTCATATATCTCCATTCCCCCCACCCCCCTGCAGATTCCCACTGTGTTTTTGATGAGTTTCCTGGATGCCTTGGAGACAGGCTATGGGAAGTACAAGAATCCTTACCACAATCAGATCCATGCAGCTGATGTTGCCCAGACAGTCCATTGCTTCCTGCTCCGCACGGGGATGGTGGTAGGTGCCCTGGAGATCATTCTTCTGTGATTCAGGGCCTATGGCTACAAAACTGGGAAGTCTAGGCTGTAGTCCCATTTCTGCTTCTTCTCTTTGGTTCTTTTTGGGCACTCCAAAGCCTTTACAGAGTCAAATTAGATGAATTCACTCTAGAGAATTTGCAGGTAGACTAAAACTTCTTGGACAGTGCTAGGGACGTGTGCTGGGATGCAGTGGGAATGCTGCAGGTTCGAATGGAGGAAGGTCCTTGGCCATTCCAGGAGCTGAGAAACCTGGCTGCATTCATGAGAGCTGGCCTTGAGGCATGGGAGGGATGGGGTGAGTGGTCTAGCCTGTGTGTGGAGGTTCTTGGGCAGTGGCCAGCAGGGGTCAGTCTGTCCCTTTCCTCCTGTAGCACTGCCTGTCGGAGATTGAGGTCCTGGCCATCATCTTTGCTGCAGCCATCCATGATTATGAGCACACGGGCACTACCAACAGCTTCCACATCCAGACCAAGTGAGGCGTGGGGATGTGGCAGGGGCAGGAGGGGCCAAGCGGAGGTGGCGGAGGTTGCCAGAGCCCCTCATTACATGGGGTGGGCATGATGACCTTTGGCTTCGTAGGTCAGAATGTGCCATCCTGTACAATGATCGTTCAGTGCTGGAGAATCACCACATCAGCTCTGTTTTCCGACTGATGCAGGATGACGAGATGAACATTTTCATCAACCTCACCAAGGATGAGTTTGTGTGAGCATAAGCCAGTACTTGGCATCCCTAAGACTCCCTTACCACAAACCCTGTTTTCCACTCCCTGGACCTCCTGCCCCACAGCGCTGAGGGGGCTGATCACTTCTTTTTCTGTCCACTCAGAGAGCTCCGCGCCCTGGTCATTGAGATGGTGTTGGCCACGGACATGTCCTGCCATTTCCAGCAAGTGAAGACCATGAAGACGGCCTTGCAGCAGCTGGAGAGGTGGTGTCTGGTGGGGTGTGGCTGGGGCCAGGCCAGAGGGAGGGGTGTGTGAACTGGAAGGTGTACACACGGGTAGTTGGTGTGCCAGGTCTTTACCTGGATGCAGAGACTCCACTGGCTGCAGGTATCTGACTGCATCTCTGTGTGTGTGTGTGTGTGTGCGTGTGCGTGTGTGTCCTTACGTTTATGTACCGTCTAGGCAGCTGATCCACTGGAGAGTGCTTTGAGCTGGGAATCTGAGATGGGGGGTCCTCACCGCAGCTCCAGGACAGGCGTACTCTTGAATGTTGGAAAATTCATTCAACCCTTTTGGACCCCAGTTGTATTACCTCTGAAATGGTGAAAATGATGTGCCTCCCCCTACGACAGCTTGCCCCTGGTTCCCAATCTCATAGGGCTATAGGGAGAGTCATGTGAGGTTAAAAAAATATACTGAACAAATGCATAATTACATCTAATGCTGCTTAAAAGTGTGTGGCAGCATATAAATGTGTGTGTGTGTGTGTGTGCTGAAGGTGTGTGTTAATCTCTGTGTATGGTGTTTATGTGTGGGAGAGTATGCAGTGTCACAGCAGGTCATTGTTGAGGGTATAATAATAATTACTATTATTCTAAATAATATCTAGTGAGTACTTATTATGTGCTAGACACGCTCCTGAATACTTATTTGTTGTTTGTCACTTAAGTCTCAGAACTACTCAATATGTGGTAGAGTTGCTATTTCCATTTTAGAGTTGAAGAAAATGAAATATGGAAATTTTAAGTAACTTGCTCAATGTCACACAGCTAACGTGTAGTGTGTATATAGATCTGAACCCAGGCCTTTTGATTCTAAGAGCCTGGGCTCTTGGCTACTAATCTGTGCTGCTACCTAAACATATATAAGTGTGTGTCTGTGTGTCAGTGTGGTGTGTGTGTGTGTCTGTAGCTTTGGAGGGTGTTTGAAATTACTTGAGGCTGGGCATGGTGGCTCATGCCTGTAATCCCAGCACTTTGGGAGGCTGAGGCAGGTGGATCACTTGAGGTCAGGTTTTGAGACCAGCCTGGCCAACATGGCAAAGCCCTGTCTCTACCAAAAAAATACAGAAATCAGCTGGGTGTGGTGGATGGGCACCTGTATTCCCAGCTACTTGGGAGGCTGAGGTGGGAGAATCACTTGAACCCAGGTGATGGAGGTTGCAGTGAGCTGAGATTGTGTCACTGCGCTCCAGCCTGGGCAACAGAGTGAGACTCTTGTCTCAAAAAAAAAAAAAAAAAAAGAAGTTATATGAAATGGTGTGCCTGGGAAGTTAGGGAGTGGTCCAGGTTTCTTTTTCCTAAAAGATCAGTCTCCCTTCCCTTGCCACCTGCCCCAACCAGGATTGACAAGCCCAAGGCCCTGTCTCTACTGCTCCATGCTGCCGACATCAGCCACCCAACCAAGCAGTGGCTGGTCCACAGCCGCTGGACCAAGGCCCTCATGGAGGAATTCTTCCGCCAGGTAGCATGGCATCTTTGCCTCCCCCGTGCCATGGGGGCGTTCTCTCCCCTTTTGCCCCCCAAGTTCCCCACTCCTATTCCATATCCTTCTTTCACTACCTGTAGCCACTGACCTGATCCCAAATCCCTGGGGTAAAATCCTGTTATCCTAAAAGCCTAACAATAGTTGCATTTCATTTGCATGTACTTCATTTGCATATTGCTCATTTCCAGGTCAAGGGTGCAGACAGTTCGCACAACATCCCCCTGCCCCCCACCCGTACCCCAGATCTGGTGGGTCTGAGGTATCCTCTCCAGCTTTCCTACCCTGTTGTCTCCTCTAGGGCGACAAGGAGGCAGAGTTGGGCCTGCCCTTTTCTCCGCTCTGTGACCGCACTTCCACCCTGGTGGCACAGTCTCAGATAGGTGAGTGTCCTCTCCTGCAGGGAGGGAGGACTGGGAAGGGGAAAAGATGCTGCCTGGGCCAGGACTGGTTCAAGTCCTCAACCCCCCACACCGTTCTTCCTGTAGAGGAAAACCTGCTGTGCTAGAGCGTGGGGTCCTGGGATGGGAAGCCGGGGGCTGCAATGGCAGGGAGGAGCTCTCTGGGGCACGAGACATCATCCCAAAGCCTGCCCCGCATTGGGAAGTTTCCAGCCCCAGGTTACCTCTCCACCCTCTTTAATAAGCAGCCAGGGGTCCAGGCCATGCCAGCCGGATCCTCTGCCTAGTCTTCCAGGTAATAGTAAGACATCTCTACGGCATCGCTCCTCCACTGCAGGGTTCATTGACTTCATTGTGGAGCCCACGTTCTCTGTGCTGACTGATGTGGCAGAGAAGAGTGTTCAGCCCCTGTCGGATGAGGACTCCAAGTCTAAAAACCAGCCCAGGTGAGGGTGGCTGGCATAGCCAGATATCCTGGTTTGGGAAGGCAAAGGTAGGGAGGGATTTGGACTCGCAGAGAAGACAGACTCACAGCTATGGTGGGGTGGGGGGAGGCAGGCTGCTTCAAGCTTGGGAGTCCCTCTGTAGTCAGGGGCAGGAGGATGGGAGCAGAAAGGTGTGACCTGCACCCGTGGTCCCCTTCACCATGTTTTTGTTTCTTCCATTAGCTCTGTCTTTACTGCCTTCTGGATAATCTTGTTTTAATTTTTCTTCTACCAGGAGGGAAGATGTGGAGAGGGAGGAGTGAAATTAGCGGGAGAGGTACAGGGACTTTGGGGAGTATCTAGTAGAGGGAAAAGAGGAAGACAAAGTTCCCCGATCTTCTGCTGGTCTTCCATATCCTCCAATCCCAGGGCTAAGGTGACTCTGGAGTGGGCTAGGTCTTACCTCTTGGGACTGTTGGGGGGGGTTCTGCTTCTAGCTTTCAGTGGCGCCAGCCCTCTCTCGATGTGGAAGTGGGAGACCCCAACCCTGATGTGGTCAGTTTTCGTTCCACCTGGCTCAAGCGCCTTCAGGAGAACAAGCAGAAATGGAAGGAACGGGCAGCGAGTGGTGGGTACCATGGCAGAGGGGGGGCGGTGAGAACTTGTGTGGATGGCTCTTGGGGTACTAGGAGGTCCGTTTTTCTTAAGCCTCTGGGGAAACCCTTCACTGGACTCGTTGAGTTGGGAATGGAGCTGATCAGACCATTTAGATCACAGGAAAGACTGGCTGAATGGCCTGGACTGTTCTAAGAATGGGGGTGGAGCGATGACAGAGAGACAGCCAGACATTCCACAACCCCAGGGTCCCTGTGCACACTGTGATCCCTGTAAATGGTATCCCTGTAGATTTGGCTAATTTGGTGGCCCTGGCTGGGAAATCTCTTCCTTCATGGGGGGCGGGGGTGGTAGGGTGGTGTTGAAGGTTCTGAGTTTTAGCAAGGCTAGAGAGGCTCTTCCTAAGTGGAGATGGGTTGAATGCAGTTCAGCTTGAAGGCAGGGTGATGGAGGTGAATCCCTTACTTGTCTCCACATACTCCTTGGGTTCTGGGGAAGAATACTTCTTGGGCTAAGCTCAGCTTCCTTTATGTTCCTCTGCAGGCATCACCAACCAGATGTCCATTGATGAGCTGTCCCCCTGTGAAGAAGAGACCCCACCCTCCCCTGCTGAAGATGAACACAACCAGAATGGGAATCTGGATTAGCCCCGGGGCTGGCCCAGGTGAGCCTGTGGTGGTGGAGGGATATAGCTAGGTGTCTACCCTGGTATCTTGATGGGTCATCTCTGGGCTCCAATGGATGTGAGATTCTCCCTCCCTCTTTTGAGCAGTAAAATGGAGGGAGTAAAGATACAGAATGGAGCCAAAGTGTGGGTGGAGCAGGGAAATCCTCCCACCTCTTCTGTCCCCTGGTCCCTGTAGGAAGGAAGGAGGGAGTTCCTCAGAACAGCAGCAGAACAGGGCGGGCCGTGCCAGGCGACAGCTAACCTGCCCTGCCCCTTAGGAAGGGTCAGGGAAAAGGAGCCCAGCCACGGCTCAGTGAGGACGGCTGCACGTGACTTCGCCCCTACCCACCCCCTTGGCTAGGCACCCTTCTGAAGGGGAGCTTTTGCACAACTCTACTCGGGTCTGAGTGGGGATCAGGACTTGGAGAAGGAAGGTCAGGCTGGAGGCAAAGGCAAAGCTCAGGACACTGAAGCTTCTCCCTCTTTTCCCAGGTCTTCACTGAGTCCAAAGTGTTTGATGTCATCAGCACCATCCATCAGGACTGGCTCCCCCATCTGCTCCAAGGGAGCGTGGCCGTGGAAGAAACAACCCACCCGAAGGCCAAACGCCAGAGATTTGGGGTTGGGGAAAGGGCCCCTCCCCACCTGACACCCACTGGGGCACACTTTCATGTGCCGGCAGCAAGACTGGGGAACTTCAGGCTCCCAATGGTCACTGTGCCCATCCCTCAGCCTCTGGACTCTCTTCATCGCCAAGTGGCTGCCTCGGAGCGGGGAGCTTCCTGGAGGCTTCCCAGGGCCTTGGGGGAGGGTCAGAGATGCCAGCCCCCTGCGCCCTCCCCTATCCTTTTTGCCTCCAAGTTTCTAAGCAATACATTTTGGGGGTTCCCTCAGCCCCCCACCCCAGATCTTAGCTGGCAGGTCTGGGTTCCCCTTTTCTTCCCCTGGGAAGGGCTGGAATAGAATAGAAAGCTGGGGGTTTTCAGAGCCCTGTGCGTGAGGAGGGGAGCAGGTTCCTTCAGGGCATGGTACCTTTCTAGGACCTGGGAATGGGGTGGGTAGGACATCCTCTTCACCCCACAATTGCACTGCTTCAGCCCATCTCCAGCCTGATCCTCCCCAACCTTCCTTCTCTTCCATTCTGGTCCAGTGACTGGGGAAAAAGGAGCCATTGTGACCAGGGGCTGCAGGAGCCCTTTCCTGGGACCTTCCTTGGGACTGGTCTGGGCCCCAGGGCTTCCCACCTGCCCTGGCTGAGTCCTGAGCCCTTTGCCTCCTTCCTCTCCCATAGGGCTGGGAGGCTCCCATCCGACCAATGTCTGTAAAGTGCTTTGAGATCTCCCCAGCAAAGCACCTTCAGGATGTATCTTATCAGCACAGGCAGGAGACACCAGCTGGGTTAGGGTCAAGGGTACCTGGGGAGGGTGAGGTATAATCCAGTAACCTGTGTTGCTAAAAGAGAGGGTCTGTCCTTTCCTTTCCACCTCTCAGAACTGGTCCAGCTGCAGGCCCTAAGAAGCTCCTCCCCCGGGACAAGTGGGGGGTAGTGGGTGAAAGGCAGATGGAGGAGGGCTCAGGGCTGCTGCCTTCCTGTCCTCTGGAGAGAACCCAGCCAGGCACGGTGCCCGTTCCTCTCCTCAGGCTCCTCCTTGCCCCCACCTTGCCCCAGGAAAGGCCAAAGTCCAGGTGACTGCCCTCCTTCTTTCTTGTAAATACCAACCATGCATTTGTACAGTGGGCCCTGTTCATGCGAAATCCGTATCCATGGTCTTCTAGACCTGCTACCCCAATACTTCCACCCCACCCCACCCTGAGTAGGGCAGAGACGCATGTGACTCACCCCTGCCCTTGGTCTCCCAGACCCCTGCTGTAGCCAGAGAACAATAAAGAAGGGAGACCAGGCCTGACTGTGTGTTCACTGGGTGCAAGTGGACCGAGCGTCTTCACGTACATACACTTTTTTCAGCATGATAAAACCTGGGTGAGGTGTTCTCCCTTACACACACATATATATATAGAGTGTTATCTATCTGGGCAAGCTGAGGCCCAGACAGGAGGCCATGCCCGAGGGCTCACAGTAGGTGCGTGGCAGAAGTGGGGCCTGACGCTTCTCAGGCTCTGCTCTTTCCTCTGTATCACATGCTCCAGCAGGGAGGGGGAAAGTCTGGCCTTCTCCCCGTCCTCTCTCCCACTACCTGGGAAAATCAAAAACAGCAGCAGGAGAGAGGCCTGGCTGTGAGATCTGAGACAGTTTCTTCTCTTAGGTTTGTTCTGTGTCTTATCTGGGCTCCTCAGTGTCTAGGACAAGGGGACCCTTCCAGTCTCCAGCGTGGCCTCTTCATTATGAGCCACTGTGTTGTCTATCCATTGTTGCTAACGGGTTGAAATAAGGGACGGCGGTCCCACAGCTGGAAGAGGGAACACATCCTGAGGCTTGGGAATCCAAAAGGAAGGCAGCGGAGGCTCGGACAGGCGAGGAGGTATCCGCACACCACCACACCCTCTTTCCCAGGGGCCAGGTGCCATGGCGCAGTTCCCCCTTTGTCCAGCAGATGGAGCCCACAGCACAGTCACAGCTGGACACCGTACAGGCCTTAGAGCGCCAAGTCTTCCAGCTGCAGGGCAGGCCTGCGAGGTGGTCTGATCATTCCTCAATAGGAAAAGAGAACCTGGGCCTTTTCTTCCTGCGCGGCACCCTGGAAGTTAGTCCTCCCACCTATCTGACCCTCATCTCTCTTCCCACAGCAAGTAAAGTCAGGACTAGGGGAAGAACTCTTCCCTGCTCAAGGCTTCTCCCCGCTCCTCTATTTCTTCCTTCCCAGAGGCAGCTTGGCAGGAGGGTGGGGGCTGTGGCCAGCGCAGGCGGGAGAAAGGATTCTCCGAGTTGGGAAAGAAGGAAAGTGCCAAGGACCTAACACCAAATTTATCACTTTTTAAAAACAAGAGATTTTCCCCAAAAGTGAAGAAATAAGAAACAAATCCGGTGTCCATGCATTCCCAGACTGCAGTCCTCATTCCAGGTACCTCCTCCTCTCTCAGACCTGTATGGAGGAAGGGGGCAGAATGAGAAGGTGAGAGGCCAGAGGGTCATTTTGCCCCTTCCCCTGCTGGCCATCCCATGTGTCAACATCTAACGTCTTAGGAAGCTTGTTCTCATGTCTGAGCAGTCTCTCCTCTGTCCAGTCTGTGCAGGGGGCTGGAGATTGTAAAGTCAAGGCTCAGGAAGTCACCTCATCAATGCATCCTCCAGGCAGGGAGAGCCACCGCCCACCTCACCTGGGCAGGTGTGGATCTCCCTTTGGGTTCCAAATCCCCTTTATCAAAAAATCCATGGCCTACTGCTATCACCCATTCCAGGAGCCAGGAGTCTCACACAAAGTCTAATCTCAATCCTTCTTGCTGCAGCTATCCATTTCTTTTTGTCTGTCAGAGGAGATGCAAGTCCTTTTACCATAAAGGATAACTCTTCAGGGACTGAAGCTGGTTGTTTCCCTTTTCCTAGACTCCAAATACTAGTCCCTTGCCTTTGTCCACATAGCCTCCTCTCCTGCGACCTGGCAGCCCAGCCCTGGGGTCTTACCGAGTTGGCTCACTTGGAATCCAATGGTGGTATATGGGTTGAGGGTTCCTTTGTGCTGGGTTCCTTACTGCCTCTTTCCTGAGTTTTAGGGATGGATTCTGCAGGCTCTGGGGAGAGAAAATAGGTGGTGGGAGGAAGAGGTAGCATTCATAAACGCACTGGGGAGGGAACTGCTTCTCCTCACTGCAGTGAGGGCCCCAAGACCAAGTTGGGTGCAATCAGGCAAGACCAACAGGGTCTTCTTTGACCACAATTACTACAATAGGTTCACTTTTTAAAAATCTTCAATAAAATGGGAAAGAATAAACCCTCTAAAAAGAGTTTAAAAAACAAAACTCAATATGTGTCTAAACCTGACATGAACTCATAGGAGACTATTTTTAGTCTTTATTCTGCTTAGTAAGACCATTCATTGGATTGCAGAAATGTTATGTGTTTGATTATAGGGTTCTCTGCCGGGAATACGATGTGATACACAGTTTACATACTGTATCTTCACAACATTGGAAGCATTCTGAGTTCTGGAATAGTTCTGGGATAAGGGACAGTGGCCATAGCCCAGTGCTACCAGCTTCCACGTCCTGCATGCTCGGCATGTGTCAGGTGCTGTGCTAAGAGCCAGTCTCACTGAATAGCCACACACAACCACTGCAAGAGGCGTCCTCATTACCATTTTATACCCTGAGGTTAAGGCGTTAAAGCAGCAAGTGGCAGAGCCAGGATTCTAGCCTGTGAGAGCTGTTCCCATGAAGTGGGTTTCCCCTATGTAGCCACAGGGGGGATCTTTCAGGTTCATGGAAGGGTTTGATATCACTCAGTAAGGGAGAGTGAAGATTTAACTATAAGCAGAATATGCAAATCGATTCATATCCTTGAGACAGTTTTTACCTACCACTAGGCCTCTCCCAGCTCCAACTCTTTTCCCTCCCCCCAGTGGGTAAAGCTTGCCTCCTGCTGGGCTGGGAAACAGGATGCCTGGGGCCCTTCCCAGCCTGAACATACTTTTTGCTGTCCCAGAGGTGCCCAGCCTTGACTCCACTTCTGTGTCTGGGATCCCAGGTGGGCGGGACTCCTGGGTCCCTGTGCTCTCAGTGGTTCCCTCAGGCTCCTCTCCTTGCTCCTGTTGCCCCAGGTGATGTTCAACCATCATTTGGAGCTCTGGGGACACACAGAAAGGGAGGGAATGCTGGACATGACTGCCTTCAATCTGCCTGGAGTCTCTGCTGTGGACCCCCAGATTCAGCAGCCTCACTGAAGGGGCAGCAGGCATTGCTGGGTGTTTGACTTTCCCAACCACTGAGATCTGAGCAAGAAGGGGACACTAGCTGGCAATAAGGAGGGATGAAAGCTAGACCATAAAAAGTACTCTTTTCCGCTAGGCACGGTGGCTCACGCCTGTAATCCCAGCACTTTGGGAGGCTGAGACAGGCGGATAACTTAAGGTTGGGAGTTCAAGACCAGCCTGACCAACATGGAGAAACCCTGTCTCTATTAAAAATACAAAAAAATTATCCAGGCATGGTGGTGCATGCCTGTAATCCCAGCTACTCGGGAGGCTGAGGCAGGAGAATCACTTGAACCTGGGAGGCAGAGGTTGCGGTAAGGCGAGATCGTACTACTGCACTCCAGCCCCGGCAATAAGAGTGAAACTCTGTTTCAAAAAAAAAAAGTACTCTTTTTCACAGATGAGGGAGGTGTAGGAGGAGAGCCTTTAGGAACAAGAGATCCTCCTATCTTGCTGGGATACATGGTCTTCCCTGGGGGAAGGTGGAAAGGCTCAATTTAGATTCAAGAAAAATTGAGTACCTTATACGTGTTGTGCACTGTGCCGGTGAGTTCACATAGATTATTTCATCTGTTATAATGAGGTAGTATTCAAGGCTCAGTAAGTTAAGCAGTTTTTCCAAGACCACCCAGCTAGTCGGCGGCAAAACTGGGATTCCAGCCTCAGTTCGTCTAGCAACAGCGCTACCATAATCAAGGCAGATTTAACGACCTCCCTTCCAAAGGGCAGTAGGTGTGCTCCCCAGCTTCAGGCGTAGAGGAGAGAAAAGGGATGAGAGGGGTCTTGCGAACCTTTCATTGTGGGTGTGATTCTTGTCATCTTCTTCCGTTGCCGTGGAGACATTGCCACAGTAGACTGTGAAGGACACAGAGCACAGATGGGTGCCAGCCCCCCTTGCCCTCCTCCTTGGCCTTGCCAGGCTTTTGGATTGGAGCTTGGGGTAGGTGTGAGCTTCAAAAAGTCGGGGAAGAAAACTCCTGCTTCCCCAACCACCTCGACAGTGGTGAGCAAGGAGACTGTGTGAGAGAGAGAGACAGAGAGTGTGTGTGTGTGTGTGTGTGTGTGTGTGTGTGTGTATCTGTGTGTGTGTGGTGCATGTGTATATGTTCACTCATGCACATTGGCGGGTAGGGGCATAGGGAAATGAGAGTCAAAAATATCCTAGAGATGGGCGGCAGGGTTTTAAGGAATAATCCCCTAATGAACGTGGGGGTTCTCTGGCTGGGCTGAGTGGGATGGGCCAGCTCACCTTGAGATGTGGGTTGGGGATCCGGTCTTCATCTATCTCTGAAGAGAACAGAGAAAGGAGAGGGTGATGAGGACAGGAAACCAGGGATTCCCATAGAGCTGACTTCTCAGGGGAGGGGATTCTGCAGCCACGCTCCTCTTGGGCTGTTCCTCACATCCGTCCCCAGGTGTCACATCTTGGCCCTCTTGGCTGCCCCAGGGCTTTTCACCGGAGCGCCTCTCCTGCACTGCCGCTACCTCCACCCCCTGCATCTAGTCCTGTCCTTGACTCTGTGGTCAACCTGCGCCTGCATCCTTGCCTCAGACCCGGAGATCCACGAAGGCAGGATCTGTGGTCTTTGTGCTTTTTTCTTCCTCTGAAGTATCCATGTCTCTTTTTCTTTCAATCATTCCTCCATCCCAGGGTCAGCCAGAGCTGAGCCCTTCCTAGGAGGGAACAGTGGTACAGAACAGTACACTTGTTCTGCGCGGGGTCTGGAAAGTACAGCTGGCGGTGAGCTGGAGACCCCGGCATCCTGAGCTCCAGCCTCGAGTCTTAGCCTGACACCTTCTCTTCCACACCCCTGTCACGCTCCCCTGCCATTCTTGGAGACCTTGTTTTCTCCCCAGACCTTGATGGGGATGCTGGTGACCAGAATCTCAGCTGCTGCCTGAACTGCTTCTAACCTCCCCCTCCCACTCTGGGGGCTGTTAAGAGCTGGTGGAGGCGATCCCTCCCCCTCACAGCTGACACTGCCTCTGGGGGTGGGGGTAGCAGCATCTCAGTTGCTGGAGAAACCTGGACGGCTGTTGCCACAGCAACCAGCACTCAGTTGACCACCCCAATTCCTAGGGGGCTTAGGAGCCAGGTGGTCTCCCCACTTCCTAACACTGCTCCATCTTTCCAAAAGCAAAGGAAATTCTGCAATCCTGCCACCACTTTCCTGCCCTCAGGACTGAGGACATCCCTGCCTCCTCAGAGCCGTTCCTCTTCCATCTAGTATCCACCTCTCCCATTGGGACCCACTGCTGCAGTGGCCCCCACTCCCTTCAGCAACCTGTCCCTGGCTTACCTGGGGATGACTGGTCACTGGTCAGCACGAGGGTGGCAGGGGTGGGGCGGCGTCTCCGAATCTGAGGGAAGGTGGGAAATAGGGAAGAGGTCAATTACACATGGAAGCATCAAAGCCCCACCCAAAACCACTCAGTAAGATAAACCAGGCTAGCCTACTTAACACACCTCAAAAAATGCCATGTTGATGCAGCTGGAGGCCATTATCCTAAGCAAACTTATGCAGAAACAGAAAACCAAATACCGCACATCCTCACTTCTAAGTGGGAGCTAAACACTGAGTACACATGGACATAAAGACAGGAACAATAGACACTGAGGAATACACGAGTGGGAGGGAGAAGGGCAAGGGCTGAGAAGCTACCTATTGGGTACTATGCTCACTATCTGGATCAATCGTACCCCAAACCTCAGCACCACACAATAAACCTTTGTAACAAACCTGCACATGTACCACCCCCCGAATCTAAAATAAAAGTTGAAAAAAATGCCATGTTACACTGGACTGACTGTTCCAGGGTGAACATCCCCGGATGCCTCCTCCCCTGGGGAGAGCTAATCCTAAGGACCCAGAAGACCCCCTCCCCTTCCCCCTCCCTGCATGCCCCCATCTACCCTGTTCTGTCTCTCTACTTCCCCCTGGTCCCAGCCCCAGCTCTCCATCTCAGCAGCTATATCTGCTCTGCACATTGATCTCTGGCCTGCTGTCCTTCCGCCCATCCTGGATCAATGGTCAGAAATAACTTAAGAGGGCACAGGGCTTTCTCCCAGTCTTCTAACCCACTCCCCAAGCAGACGTTAACATTTGGTGTGACAGCACCTGCAGAGAGCATCCTTTTCAAGCGCCCCCCAGTCTGGGGGGACAGCACAGAGAAGGATCTGAATGTGCATCTCCTCTGGCCTGTGCCCCTCACTCCTGAATGTCCTCTCTATCCTTGGATACATTGCCTTTCTCATTTGTGAGGAAATGGGGTTGGGGGAATCCTTGTCATGGTAAATATAATATCAATACACGGAGGAGCCCTAGGCAGGACCCTGGTCAGGGCCTAAAGCTTAGCTGAAAAATCTTATCCTAGGCTCCATGTCCCAGCCTAAGAAATTAACATATAAAGCTGACCGACTACCCTGCCTCTGAGCCCCCTTACCCCCACTGTTGTTCTTTTGTCACACTGCCAATAAAGTTGATTGTTGTTGAAGTCAGTCCAAGGACTCCTGGGAGGTGTAGTTTTTCGCCTTTCTCTGGAGGCTTTAGAAGCTTGGAAGCGAGGGGAAGGATGGGGGTTAGAGAATGACCCTCTAGGTTAGCAATGGGGAGGGGTGGGAAGGCTAATGGGGCTGGAAAAAGGGCTAAAATTATCCTGGGCTGAGAGGAGTAGGGTGAGGACACTGAATGATCAAACCCTTATCTTTGCTTGTCCATTATTTAGAATCATCACCACTGGCTGTGGGAGATGAGGGAGGTGAACACTGCCCCCCTCTATCCCCAGAAAAGTGGGGGGCACTGGCTATGGCAAGATGGGCTGTTTAAGCCTGAGGGGGGACTCTAAAGAAAAAACAGGATGCCCAGAATGGAGGTGTGGAGAGGGAGGGCATCATTTTCCCGGGAGAATTCAGTCACATCTGTTTTAGGTGGCATTTCAAGGTCCCGCAGTCCAGTCCTTTGTGTATGTGTGTAAGTGTGTACATGTATGAGCTGCATGAACATGAACTGTGATGCACATGGGCAGGGAACCATCTGTTTCTTGTACAAGGGGTAGGGGCCATCCTTTGACTAGAAGACTCCTCTACTTCTTTCCATCCCGGAGGGGCCAGGTGTGGTGGTGGTAGAAGACAGGAAGGGACAGGGAGAGGGTGGAGTGGAGATTAGTGGGTTGAAATAACATCAGAGTGGGGAGCCCAAGAAGGAGACTGCAATTATGACAGAGGGCAGCAGGGCTGTGTGGTCTTGGACAGGTCCCTTCTTGCTATCCTTACAGCAGAAAGGAGGAAAGTCAGACTTCCTGAGGCACCTCCCAGGCACCTGAAATAGTAGGAGATCAGTAGACGGTCTCTTTTCTTTATGTTATACCTATCCCAAATCCTAGCTCTCAAGAGCACGTGGTACCTTCGCTTCGGAATTATTTCCAAACCAGTCATGTCAAGGATCTGGAAGCTGTGGGCACCCCTCCACCCCTGCCACTCTGTGCTCTATAACTTACAGCTTCCAACTCCTTTTGCCCTCCCATGTTGGTCTGGGTTAGGAGCACCTGCCAAGCCTGGAGCTTTTTGCCTAACACAGCAGGAGGGGCTGAGGTTAGACTGCAGGAAGAATTTCAGGCCTATGAGACACAGATTCTGAAGATTAGAGAAAGCAGGCCCAAGTCCCTGCTCTCTTTTTCCCTCTGGCTCCCTTGTCCCCTAGATCCCTGAACCAGCTGGCCTACCCCCTCCTCCTCCCCGCACACCTACTACACCTGCCTCCTCCAACACCAAGCAGATGCAGGTGCCAGGCCCTGTCTGTGCCAGTGGGAGGCAGTTCTCTTTGGAACCACATCCCCAGCCTCCACCGCCCAGACTCTTGAGCCCCTTTCCTGGGTCTGAGGTTATCCTGACCGATGCCCTGCCTCCAGGCATGGCAGCCTTTCCCCTGACTCCCAGGGAACACGCCCCATGCTGGTGGCTCTGCGTCCTCCTCCTGCTCTACAGATTTGTGAGGCTTCACCACAATCTTTCCCGTAGTCACATCTTAGAGCTCTGAGGCAGGGGTTCACCCCAGGCCAGAGACAGGATGGAGACACAGGTACCTAACCCTACCTCCACAATGGGAAGCTAAAGTGATGGGGAGAGTGTGTGTACCCGCTCTTCCCTTCACATCAGACCTTATTCTACCAAACAGCTGGAGTAACAAAAACGACAAAAAAACACTCTCTTTACCTTATTCCAAGAGGTCACAAAGTTTTTTTTTGTTTGTTTTTTTTTTGGTGGGGCGGGAGGAGGGGGCGGGGGTGGCCAGCCACAGCCTGGCAGCTCGTTGGGAGAAACAGAGAACTGACCTTGTGGGAAATTGATATTCTTTAGGAATGGGATTGTCTAGGCAAATGGACAGAGATTACAAAGAGATGGAGCAATAGGCAAATAAGCAAATATTTGGCGAACGAGCAGTAGTAAGGACCACGGGTAGTCGCCTGCTCCACACACACGCTCACTCTCCCCGAGGCATACACTTGCTCACACACTGCCCCCTCTGCCAGGCTGCTCTGAGCTAAAAATAGACCAGGCGAGGAGGCTGGGCCAGGGCCCTGGACTCCCACCCCTTGAGCCAAGGCTGTCACAGTGCTTCTCCCTTGCATATGGTTCATCTTGAACCCCAGCCCCTGGAAAGTCTCCACGTCCGGCTTCCCAGTGCCACCAGCCCAGTCCCACCCGGCCTCCCCACTCCAAAGGGCAGGAGTTGGGAATAAGGACCATGTGCCCAGACTTGAAGAAGGCAGCCTCAGCCTATGACCACCCCTCTCCCGCCTCCCCGGAGCCCCAGCCCTCTCAGTTGTCCTCAGTTCCTTCCTGTTATCACTTTGGGAGCCCAGCAAGGTGGCCCCCAGTTAGGAGGGGACAGGGAGAGCTGTTTCTCCTCTTCCAACTCCCACCCTTCCAGGCCCCCCCTCCATTACCGACCCCTCCCCAGACCCCTCCCGCACTGCTGCTGTTCCCTTCAGTGCCACCACCAAGCTCAGAAACTCTGGTGGGGTTGACTGGGTGAGCGATGCAGGGTTGTTTAAGGAGGGAGGGGTCGTGTCCTCAAGCAGGCCCCCTCCCCCAGGGCTGGGGAGGAAGATAGCGACTCTCGCGGGGCCAGGCATGGAGAGGAGGCGCTCTTCCTTCGCTCAGTCTCATAGAAGCACAGATCCGAGATGTGGCTCTGACGGTGGGGGAGGGGACAGAAGACCCCCCCCCTCCCCAAAATGAGCGTTCGTCCTCAAAAGGGCACGCTGCTAAGGGAGGACCAGGCAGGGATCCCGGGTTCCACCAGTCCCGGGGTCCCTCGTCCTTGGCTGGGCGCGTCCCCTGCCGCCCCGCCCTGCTCCGCACCTGCTCCGCCGCCTCGGGGTCAAGGTGCGGCTCCAGCAGCGGGACCGTGAACTGGATCTTTCGGGGGCTGCTGTCTTGCTCCATGGCTGGGGCGGCGGCCGCTGGGCGCGCGCTGCGGCGGGAGGGAAGGCGGCGGGACTCGGGGCTGGGGCGGGCGCGCTGCCTCTCCGCTCCGCTCCGGCCCCGGCCCCAGCCCGGCGCGCTCGGCTCCCGGCTCCCGGCACAGCGCTCCCAGCTCGCGGCTCCCGGGACTCTGCAGCCGCCGATTGGCTCCGCAGCCGCCCCTCCCGGACCCTCCCCCTCCCCCAGCCCGGAGCCTTAACCCCGTCGTGGCTGCGCGGCGGCTGCGGGGGTCACCGCCCCGCGGGCCGGCGAGTCCGGGCGTGGCCCAGGAGCCGTCGTAGCGGACAGCTCAGGCAGAGACCTCAGCGTCCTCGGAGTTTTGGGCAGGGAGTGGGGGTGGGGAGCGGCTAGGAAGAACTTCTCCTGGCCGGGGCGGGTTGTAGGGGCTGGGAAAGTAGAGGGGCGTTGCAGGAGAGGAGGCTGCAAACGCGAGGGGAAGACTGCGTTTATGATTTTGAAGGGGGTGGTATTATAGAGAAAAGAGGGAAAGGGGATTTAGGCATGCAGCAGGAGGGATTAAGGTTAGACTTCGAGAGGGACTTTCCCTTGAAAGGAAAACACTAGGCGGAGGTAAAAACTTGGAGGGAAATACAAGGTCTGCACACCCGTCCTGTGTTCCCTCTGTGCCAGGGAGAGGAACCGGAAGACCTCGGATGGTCTCCGGAGGGCGCGTTTCTCCTGAAGTGCATGTGGGGGTGGGAGGAGGGCTTGGGGAGAGAGGACCATCTGGGACTCAGCAAAAGGAATAATGAGGCTGGGGAGCCAATCGTGCTTGTGAAATCGAGTTCCTTTTCTGCTTGCTAAATTAGGGGATGTAAGGTAGGTGAAAGGCCTGCGAGGGGAACGTGCCTGGGGGTGGGGAGAGGAACTCCTTTGGTGGGGTGGCTTGTTTACAGATGGGGTTGGTTTCCAATTTCACTATTGGCAGGATACTGAAAAGGAGCTGCTGTAACTGAAGGGATGGAGGTTAGACTACAGGAAGAACTTACTAGTTTGGTGGAAGACGGAGATGCCAGTCAATACGAGCCAGTGAGGGAGATAGGATATTCACAGGAGCTGGTGTGCATGGTGCTAAGGGCTGGGGATCACTAGACAGGGGAAGGGGAGGTGCTGGGCACCTGGGGAGGGTAGGGCTGGATGCATCTTCGCTGGGGAGAGGGTGGAGAGAACTGGGGACGGGGAGGCCAGCACAGGGAGTGCTGGAAGAGGTTTAAGAGGTCTGCCTCTTAAAGCAAGCAACCGGCAAGTTCCATACAGATTTACGCCTGGTTCTGGGAGAAGCCTATGATCATCCTCTCCTCTAAGGGGTCAGCCTCAACCCTCAGTTGCCTCCTCTCCTGGGCAGCCCTTGCCGGACCTTGATTTCACAAGGCCCCTTCCCCTCTAACCTCCCAAAATAACTTGTCCTGCCCTCCCCCCAGCCATATCTTTTTACATATGTCAGGCTCAGTTTTCTCAGGGTAAGGCTGGGGTTATGGGGACCCAGTGGGCCAGCTGGATCTCTGTCTGCATGTTAACTGGCCCCTGTTTTGCTGTCGCTTGGACTCCAGGATGGACTCTCCACACCCAGCCTGTACCTGCAGGGCCCCTTTGCTCTCTGGGTAGCAGGGCCAGATGGAAAACAGCTGGTTGGGCTTCCCTGTCTCCCTTTATTCCCAACCTTTGCACAGATCCCCCCACGAGAAGTGACAGTGGAGAAAGAGATCTTGAAGGCCCCGAAGCAGAGAGGATAAGGGTTGGGGCTAGGGAGATACCTGGCCCATGAGGGCCCAGCTGCTTGCTCTAGCTTCCTCCCTGCTCACTCCACCTCCCAACCACACATACACAGATCAGGATCCAAAATATCCTCTGAACAGGTGACTTGTCTATTCCCCATCCCATGCTACCAGGACTGTGGGATGTGAAGCCAGGATTCTCGCATCCCTGTGTCTGGGGATTCAGGCTTCCCGCATGAGCCTCAATCTCATTTGTAAAACAGAGGATCCGACCTCCTAGGGTTGAGTATCACATAGGTAGAGTCCCTGGTGCATAGAAGGTCTCAGTTCATTGTAGCTGCTGGTTTTATTGTTATCTCCTAGCAGGCTGGCAGAGTTGGGGGGGGGTGGTCACTCGGAGTGGTCACCTCTCCACCCCCAGCCCAGTCATCCAGCTTGCCTGGGCCTCTTTCGTATTCCCTGATCTCCCTCAAACTTTGGTCTGGTCATGGAAATTCCTCCCCAAGTCTCTCACCCACCCTGTGTTGCCTTCTCAAGTCCCAGATTCTCAGAGTCCTTTGTCCTGAAAGCCATAGGTAAGGAGAGAGACCAAGAGAGCTGGAGCTCTGGAGAGATGGCTGATGAGGGGCTGCGTGGGAAGAGGGGTCCTGCAGCAGCCGGTGCTGGGGTGGAGGCAGAGGAGGAGAGAGGAGGGAGAGGGAAGAGCGACAGCTCCCAGTACTGGCTTTGGGAGGAGGAGACTGGGGAAAGTGGGCGAAGCGTTTCTGGGTAGCAGGGAGGTAGAGTGTGGCTGGGTGCAGCCTTTGGTGCTGGGTAAGCTGGAATGGGTCTGTCTGTGAAGGTGTGTGTTTATTGTCATTTTGACTTTTATTTATGTCCATAGCTATGTGAGTGCCTGTTGGGCCGATGGGTGTACAAAGGTGTGGGTTGCTCACACACAGGCCCTGGGCGCTGCAGAGGGCTTGATGCCCGCTGTTGGAACCTTTCCTAGAGCGAGTAAGAGTCAGAGCCTGCCTCACCCCAACTCCTTCCCTCAGCTTGCATGTTTCTATGTTAGGCGCGTGTGTTCACAGCCCTGCTGCAGTCACAGCCGGGGCTGGAGAAGCAGCAGCTGTATGTGGTGAACTGCTGGCTCCATGAAATATTTAAAGTTACAGGGATGTGACTGGGTCATGCAGTCACTTAATGACACTCACCCTCCCCTATTCTCGGCACTGGACTGTCAGTTAATGGGGCTGCTCTTTGTCGCCCTCAGCACTTTCTGCTTTTATCTGTGCACCCTTCTCACCCCCACGAACCTCCTCATGCATTAATCCACTAATCCTCACAGCCACCCAGGAGGGAGGGCAGGTATTAGGGTGTTTATTTTACTTCTCGAGGGGAGGGTAGTGTGGCGAGGTGTTGCTAAGATGGGCACCTGGGACAGGGTATGAAAGGTCGGGGTTCAGTTTCTCCATCTGCTGCCAACTCTCTGGGTGACTTGGGGTTGCTTGCCCTACCCCCAACTGGATTCAGTTTCCTTCTCTTCAAAATGAAGGGGACCAGGTGACTGCAGATTTCTTCTGTTCTGTTATTCTGTTGTTCTGACTTGAGGGTGCTCCTGTCACACAGCCGGGAAGTCTCAGAAACCAGGTGAGAACCCAGGAGGCCCAGGACCTTCCCTGTATCTTTGCCTTTCTCCCTGCCTGGCCAGTGTGGTGGAGGCACACTCCTGCTTGTTGAAAACGTGAGGCACACACACATTTTATCTGCACAGTTCAGAGGAGGTGGGGCCAGAGATGGCTTTTATCCACCCAAAGGAGCAGCGACCCCATCCAAGTGGTCCCCCAGGAAGCCATATGCTCATGCCGATGTGCTGCAGTTTCTCAAATGTTTCTGGAAACTCTTGGAGTCATCTCAGAGCTTGAGGCATATGCTCTGACAATCCTCATGCGGGGTGAATCCTCGTCTTTTAGGGTGGCTTTGCTCCTTTGGAAATGACTGAGAGCCTTTAGGGGCCAACCCTTGTGAAGATGGGGGGGGAGGCCAGGTGGGGGTAAGCCTTGATCTGGAAGAGAGATGTGGGTCCCCTGCAGTGAGACTGTGTGTCCTGTGGGGTTTGAGCCCACCTAGAAGGCTTCCCTGCAAGAAGTTTCCAGAGCTTCTTGTGAGCCCCGGAAGCAGCATTGGAGTAGATATGTGGCCTCCTAGGGGACAACTTGGAAGCCCAGCCTCCTCTGACTGTCCTGGTTTGCCTGTGAAAAAGCCCAGAGTTGCAATTCTGCTAGGCTTGAGTCCACACCCACCTGCAGCTGGCAGTCTTGGGAATGGGGCCAGAGCTGGTGATTCAAACAGAGGGGATGCTCATTTTCAAAGTGCTTTGCCTCTCCATGAACCCCCAAATCCACTGGTAGGGTGAAAGAGACTTCAAGAACAGCCACTTGAACCCTTCAGGCTAGAGAGGAGAAATCAAGGCAATAGGGAGGAACAGCTTTTCCAAGGACCAGAAGCCAGGCCAGCACTTTCCCCAGTAAACCAGATTTGGTGGCTACGGCAGGGTAATGGCTGAACCTGAAGCAAGGTCATGGACTAGAAGACCTCTTGAGATGCATTTGAACACTATGATTATCAACAATCCAGAAGGCCCAATACCTAGCTAGCCTCTAGCTAGCCCCTTCTATCCCCAACCTGCTAAAAGGTTAAAGTTATTCTTTTGGCTGAGCGCGGAGGTTCACGCCTGTAATCCCAGCACTTTGGGAGTCTGAGCTGGCTGGATCATGAGGTCAGGAGTTCGAGACCAGCCTGATCAACATGGTGAAACCCTGTCTCTACTAAAAATAGAAAAAATCAGTCAGGCATGGTGGTGGGTGCCTGTAATCCCAGCTACTTGGGAGGCTGAGGTAGGAGAATTGCTTGAACCTGGGAGGCGAAAGCCGCAGTGAGCCCAGATCACACTATTGCACTCCAGCCTGGGAGACAGTGCGAGAGTCCATCTCAAAAAAAAAATATTCTTTTAACAAATATTTATTAGCAGGCCGGGCGCGGTGGCTCAAGCCTGTAATCCCAGCACTTTGGGAGGCCGAGGCGGGTGGATCACGAGGTCAAGAGATCGAGACCATCCTGGTCAACATGGTGAAACCCTGTCTCTACTAAAAAAATACAAAAAATTAGCTGGGCATGGTGGTGTGTGCCTGTAATCCCAGCTACTCAGGAGGCTGAGGCAAGAGAATTGCCTGAACCCAGGAGGCGGAGGTTGCGGTGAGCCGAGATCGTGCCATTGCACTCCAGCCTGGGTAACATGAGTGAAACTCTGTCTCAAAAAAAAAAAAAATATTTATTAGCTATTCCTATGTGTCACATATTATGCTAAGTGCTGGGGACACAGCAGAGCATAAAAGAGACACAGTCTGTCCATTGACACACGGCTTATGGCCTAACAGGAGC